TGCCATCCCCATCAAGCTACCAATGACTTTCTTCGCAGAATTGGAAAAAACTACTTTAAAGTTCATATGGAACCAAAAAAGAGCCCACATTGCCAAGATAATCCTAAGCCAAAAGAACAAAGCTGGAGGCATCACGCTACCTGTCTTCAAACTATACATAAGGCTACAGTAACCAAAACAGCATGGTACTGGTACCAAAACAGAGATATAGACCAATGAAACAGAACAGAGCCGTCAGAAATAATACCACACATCTACAACCATCTGATCTTTGACAAACCTGGCAAGAACAAGAAATGGGGAAAGGATTCCCTAGTTAATAAATGGTGCTGGGAAAACTGGCTAGCCATATGTAGAAAGCTAAAGTTGGATCCCTTCCTTACATCTTATACAAAAATTAATTCAAGATGGATTAAAGACTTAAATGTTAGACCTAAAACCGTAAAACCCCCAGAAAAAAACCTAGGTAATACTATTCAGGACATAGGCATGGGCAAGGACCTTAGGACTAAAATACCAAAAGCAATGGCAACAAAAGCCAAAATAGACAAATGGGATCTAATTAAACTAAAGAGCTTCTGCACAGCAAAAGAAACTACCATCAGAGTGAACAGGCAACCTACTGAATGGGAGAAAATTTTTGCAATCTACTCATCTGACAAAGGGCTAATATCCAGAATCCACAAAGAACTTAAACAAATTTACAAGAAAAAATCAAACAACCCCATCAAAAAGTGGGCAAAGGATATGAACAGACAGTTCTCAAAAGAAGACACTTATGCAGCCAACAGACACATGAAAAAATGCTCATCATCACTGGCCATCAGAGAAATGCAAACCACAATGAGATACCATCTCACACCAGTTAGAATGGCGATCATTAAAAAGTCGGGAAACAACAGGTGCTGGAGAGGATATGGAGAAATAGGAACACTTTTACACTGTTGGTGGGACTGTAAACTAGTTCAACCATTGTGGAAGACTGTGTGGTGATTCCTCAAGGATCTAGAACTAGAAATACCATTTGACCCAGCCATCCCTTTACTGGGCATAAATCCAAAGGATTATATATCAGGCTGCTATAAAGACACATGCACACATATGTTTATTGTGGCACTATTCACAATAGCAAAGACTTGGAACCAACCCAAATGTCCATCTTAATTTCTGGATTAAGAAAATATGGCACATGTACACTATGGAATACTATGCAGCCCTAAAAAAGGATGAGTTCATGTCCTCTGTGGGGACATGGATGAAGCTGGAAACCATCATTCTGAGCAAACTGTCGCAAGGACAGAAAACCAAACACCGCATGTTCTCACTCATAGCTGGGAATTGAACAATGAGAACACTTGGATACAGGGTGGGGAACACCACACACCAGCACCTGTCATGGGGTGGGGGAGGGGAGAGGGATAACATTAGGAGAAATACTTAATGTAAATGACGTATTAATGGGTGCAGCACACCAACATGGCTCATGTATACATATGTAACAAGGCTGCACATTGTGCACATGTACCCTAGAACTTAAAGTATAATAATAATAAAAAGTAGTATTAGACAGAAGATACCATCTTTTTCTCAGGGCTAATAGCTAGGGGGAAACTAACAGGAGTGCGCATTTGAGTGTGTACTGTATGTTGGGTACCAAACTAGGAATCTGTCATTTTTATTTAGTTCTCATGTCTGACCCTTCTTATAAAGGGTAGTTATTAATATCCCCACCTTGAAAATGAGGAATGAGACTCAGAAATGTTAAATAATGGTCCCAAGGTCAGAAAAGCAGTAAATAAGGTTAAAATTCAGACTTGTCTAATGTCAGGCCACATCCACGGTACTATGTTCAGTACTGCTCCAAGCTGATCTTTCTGAGGAGCTCAGATGTAGACAGGGCATGTTCAAAGGGCTTATTTAGATCTAAAAAGTCCCCAGGAAGAGCATACCATTGCCAGATCACCCTTGATCTAGTGCACAGTCTGCAGGCTGGACAGGTTCCTGAATTACCCTGGAGGTCAGCGTTTTTCCTGCATAACTCTTTAGATGGACTTAGTTCTTAGTTCAACTTGGTTTTCTCTATTCTGGTATGCAAGAATTAAGACTAAACCATTAACAAAATCTCCAAAGTTAATTTGCAAAGCAGTTTTCTAGAACAGAGGTCCCCAACCTTTCTGCCACCAAAGACTGGTTTCGTGGAATATGATTCCACGAAATTTCATGGAACAATAATATGATTAAAAGAACCGCAGTTCTGTTTGAGAATTAGCGTGGACCAGTATGAGAGATACTTTGCTTTTATCCTATTCCTTTTCAGTCTCTCTCTCTTCACAAACAAATATATAACTTATTACTTAAAAAAAAAAAAAAAAAAAAAAGCTTTCTGGAGTAGGGCACAGTGGCTCACGCCTGTAATCCCAGCACTTTGGGAGGCCGAGGCGGGTGGATCACCTGAGGTCAGGAGTTCAAGACCAACTGGGCCAACATGGTTAAACCCCATCTCTACTAAACTCCTTTTTTGGGAAGGACTGCTATTTATTATCTCTCTCTTTTTTTTTTAGTAAAATGTTTTATCATTTACCAAGTAATAGAAATTGGTAAGAAATGGAAAACTCATGCCAATAACCACAGAAATGTTTGAAATTTTACTAATCTGTGGAGATCTGAAAGTCTAGGTGTTGGGAAATCCTGGTCTGTACTCACTGAACGCCACTCTTACCATCTCACTTCCCGACACCTTGCAGCCTATCTTTGGATCCAGTCTCTTGGCTGAACTGGTTTCAGGAAAGTTATCATTGATTTTATGGTCCCTTACCCCTTTTTTAATAAACCAAATTTTCCCTTTGACTTTTGTATAATGTTTAATTCCGTTCACATTCTATCTCTGAAACTCTCCTCCGTAGGATTTGCTCAAAGCGCTTCTCTATTCTGCCACAGTAACCATTTTCAGTCTCCTTTATTTACTTTGTTCCTTTCTACTTCTTCAGGGTAACTCTCTTGTAAAACATTGAATATTTATGATGCCTGTGAAGAGTAGACATGAGAATAAATTAACTATACATGGAAGCCACAAGTTGCCAACCAGAGACTGTCTTGATATAAACCAAATAAGTAGAATTGAACAGTTTTACTGATGACAGTTCCTGATTTTTTTAAGTATGCACATATATTTAGTACATTACATTCCTTTGTATGTTCCACTGTTATTAAACTATTTATTTATAGATGTTTAGTTCCAGTTGTGTGGTGTGTGCTTTTCTTTCCCCCCCAAACCAATACTGTATGGGCATCCGTATCCCTACATCTTGGCACACTTCGTGAGTATATCCATTGTGTAAATTCCTGGTGGTAGAACTGCTAAGTTATAGCATGTGGGCATTTAAAAGTTTGGTAGACATTGCCAAATAGCCTTCTGAAAGCTTGTACCCTTTGTACCTTTTTTTTTTTTTTTTTTTTTTGAGACAGAGTCTTGCTCTGTCACCCAGGCTGGAGTGCAGTGGCGCAATCTCGGCTCACTGCAACCTCCACCTCCCAGGCTCAAGCAATTCTCCTGCTTCAGCCTCCCAAGTAGCTGGGATTACAGACACCTGCCACCACACCCAGCTAATTTTTGTATTTGTAGTAGAGACGAGGTTTCACCATGTTGGCCAGGTTGGTCTGGAACCCCTGACCTCAAGTGATCGCCCGCCTCAGCCTCCCAAGGCCCTGAGATTACAGGCGTGAGTCACCATGCGCAGCCCCATTTGCACTTTTATCAACAGGGTTTAAGAGTGCTTCTTTCTCTATACCATCTCCAGCAAAGAATATAGTAAAACTTGATGTTTGCTAATCTAGTGGTGAACTTTTTTTTGTTTATATTTTTGTTTTAATTATGAGTGAAGTTGAGCATCTGTTGTATCAGTGGTTCTCAACCAGGGATGATTTTTGCACCCGCCCCCCCAGCCTGCTGGGGGCATCTGGCAATGTCTGGAGACATTTTGGATAAAACTGGAGAGGGTCTGGGGAAGGGATTCCACTGGCACTTAGTGGGTAAAAGATCCTACAATGCACACGATGAAGCAATAACTGGCCCAAAATGTTAATTTTCCAGGATTAAAAAACCCTGTTTTGTATTATTCCATTTCATCTTCTTCATTGGTTTATTATCTGTAATTCTTGAGTTTTTTAATTGGTTGGTTTCAGGTTTATAGTATACTTCTTTAACTTATCACAGTATATCTTCAAGCCATATGTTACTATTTCATGTGTAATATAAAAGCCTTACACCAGTGTATGCCCATTTCCCCACTCCTGGCCTTCGTGCTACTGCAAAACATTCTACTTCTACTTATGTTATAGACTCTACAATACGTTATTAGTGTATTACTTTAAACAGTTATCTTTTAAAAAAATTAAACAGCTTTGTTTAAATATAATTAGCATGCATCAAATTACACATTTCAAGTGTACAATTTAACCACTTTTGATATGCATTTGCAAAACCATCACCACAGTCAAAATAATGAACATATTCATCATTCCAAAAACTTTTCTCCTGCCCTTTAGTAATTCCTCCCTTAACTCCAGGCAGCCACTGATCTGCTGTCACTATAGATAAGTGGACATTTTCTAGAATTTTATGTAAATGAAGTTATAAACTGTGTACTCTTTTTGTCTGACTTTCTTCCAGCATAATTGAGATTTATCCATGTTGTATATATCATTAGAAAAACATTTTTCATGACAGATATTTCAATTAATTAGATTCCTGTTGTTAAAGAGCATGTTGTTCTAGTCACTTGATATATTTTTGTTTTAGGTCATGACTCTCCAAAGTATGATAATCACATGAGAGTGCTCATTGCTACGGATGTCTTTTGACTCATCAGAGAAAATCTGTCCAAAAGAAAATATCCATGTGACCAAATCCATTTCATTATTGAATGGCTTGATGGATTTCCTTTACTCTGATTCATACCAAAGCTTTCCTTCTCAACCAAAGCAAGAAAGGATCCTGCATGAGTCAATCCCAGAATGCAATTTTTACATCACCAACAGGTGAAGAAAACCTCATGAATAGCAGTCACAGAGACTCGGAGAGCATCACTGGTAAGTCCAGTTTAATAAATATTGAAGTGCTGTTGCTTACGGGAGAAAATGCAAATGCCTCAGTCCAGCATATATGACCTATCATGATGAAACCCAAGCCTGCCTTTCTAGTCTGATGTCCTCAGGGAAAGACTGAATTAATCTCGCATCCCCTGTGTCTCCTGACACATTAACAGCAATCTGTCTTTCATGTTGTTTCTTGTCTATGTTGGACTCCCCTGTACCCTGTGAACACCTGGTGAGTAGTAGCTGTATCATATCCATCTGATCTCCACAGGGCAAGGACAGAGTTACCCGTGTTTGTATACCCTGCAGGTACCTCACAGCAGTGCCTGGCACACAAGACTCTTGGGGCGTACAGCATATAACAAACATACATATAGGCCCATAACACCTTATCTGTAAGACTAAATCAAAAAACTCTGAGCACTCAAAGTTTTTTTCTATACTTTTATTCAAACACTCATTTGCCCACGAAACCAGACTTTGGCTGTTTCTGGACTTAACTCATTTAGTTTGAATACTTATATTTGCTGAAGATTTATTTATGTATTTAAATATGAGGTGCTGCTGCAAAACCAGCTGGGGATGTTATATAACATGCAGTTAATGTACAGTGCCACTTTCCTAAAAATCTGAAAAATTCTGAATTCTGAAACCCGTCAAAACCCAAAGTTTTTTTTAATTTATCCTCATTGAGGTATGTTTATTAAGATACAAGAAAATACACTCATTTTAAGTGTACAGTTTGAGTTTTGACAAAAATATCCACTCAGTGTAACTGCCAGTACAAACAAGTTCGAGAAGTTTTTATCATCCCAGAGAAAGTTCCCTTGTACACAGATCTCCCCACCCCTCACCTCCGGTTCCAAACAACCACTAATCTGCTTTCTGCCACTTTAAATTAAATTTGCTTGTTCTAGAATTTCATATAATTTGAATGTGTCTCTTTTGTGTCTGCCTTCTTTTGTACAGCAAAATGTTTTTGAGATTTATCCACTTGTGATAAGTATCAGAAGTTTATTCTTTTTATTGCTAAGCTGGAACTTAACTCATCTCTGCTATTGTAGCAGAAAAGCAGCCATGGACAGTACATGAAAAAATGAATGTGACTGTGTTTCAGTAAAAGTTCATTTACAAAACCAGGCAGGTTTACAAAACCAGGCAGGGGCAGCAAGCTGAAGTTGGCCTGTGGGCTGTCGTTTGCTGACCTCTGCTGTACATCATCAACACTTGGTAATGTCAGTGGTTTTGATTTTAGCCATTCTAGTAGGTGTGTACTGGTATCTCTGAGATTTTAATTTATATTTTCCTGATGACTCATGATGTTGAGCACCTTTTCATGTGCTTATTAGCCATACCTAGATTTTATTTTGAGTTGTTTATTCAAATCATTTGCCCACTAAAATTTTATCTTACTATTGAAATGTAAATGTTGAATTGTAAGTGTTCTTTACATGTTCTAGATGTAAGTCCTTTGTTAGATAAATGGACCGTATTTTCTCCTAGACTTTGGCTTGCCTTTTCATCTTCTTACTGGTGTCTTTTGAAGACCTATTTTAAATTTTGATGGAGTTTATCAGTTTTTGCTACTATAATTCATATTTTTGTGTCGTTCCTAAGAAATCTTCGCATAAAAGAAAAAGTTTGACAGTTTTTACCTCTACTTTTAAGTCAGTAGTCTACTTTTTTGAGTATGGAATTAGATTAGGGTCCAAATTTTTGTTTTTTGCTTTCCAATTGGATATTTCATTGTTTCTTTATCATTTGTTAAAAATGGTCTCTTTACCCTTATTGAAATACCTTGATAATTTCACTGAAAATCAGCTAGTCATATATGTATGGTTTCTGTTTCTGAACTCTATCCTGTTCCTTTAATCCCTAAGTCTATCTTTACAGAAATACCACGTTGTCTTATTTACTGTAATTCTATAGTAAATCTTGAAATCAGATAATACAAATTCTCCAACTTTACTCTTTTTCAAAAATTATTTTGGCCATTTAAGATTTTTCACATTTTTTATATAAATTGTTTAATCTGCCTGTCAACACTTGAGCCCAGGAGTTCAAGAGCAGCCTGGACAGCTAGCTGGGCGTGGTGGCATGCACCTGTAGTCCCAGCTACTAGGGAAGCTGAGGCAGGAGGATAACTTGAGCCTAGGAGATTAAGGCTGCAGTGAGCTATGATTGTGCCATTGCACTCCAGCCTGAATAACAGAATGAGAGACCCTGTCCCTAATAATAATAACCAGCTTGTCATTTTCTTTCGAAAAAGAATGCTGGACTTTTGAATGGAATTACATATACTCTGTAGAGAATTGATAATTTGAGAATAGTGAGTCTCCTAATCCATAAACTTAATATATCTCTCCATTTACTTAGTTAGGTCCTCTTTAATTTCTCTTAACAATATTTTATAGTTTTTATTGCATAAGTCTTGCACATATTTATTAAATTTAGTCTTAAGTATTTTTTAAATGGCACTGTTTATTTAATTTCATTCTCCTACTGTGTGTTACTACTATAAAGAAATGAAATTGGTTTCTTTAGTGTTGACCGTGCATTCTGCAACTTTGCTTAACTTACTAGTTTTAGTAACTTTTTGGTAGATTTCTTAGAGTTTTCTACATACACCATAATGTCTGCAAATAGAGACAGTTTTGCATATTCTTTTTCAATCTGGATGCCTTTTATTTATTTTTCTTGCCTTATTGAATGAGACACGATCTCAGTATATTGTTGAATAAAATGGTAATAATAAACATTCTTGACATATTTCCAGTCTGAGGAGAAAAGTTACAGTATTTGACCGTTAAGTCTCTTAAGAATACCGTATATTAAATTGAGAAGATATCCTTCTCTTCCAAATTGGATGAAAAGTTTTTAGCATGAATTTTGTCAAATGGCTATTTTGCATCTGTTGAAATATTCATATGGTTTTTCTACCTTTGTCTATTGGTGTGGTGAATTCTGTTGGTTTAGTTTTGAATTTTAAACCAGACTTGCATTCCTGGAAAAAACTACTTGGTTATGATATATTATCTTTTTTATATATGACAGGTTTTATTTACTAGTGTTTTGTTAGGGAGTGTGTGTGTGTCTGTGTCCTTCCTAGTCCCATTAATAAGGATTATTGATTTGTACTTTTTTCTTTTTCTTTTTTTTTGTAATGTCTTTGCTTTATTTTGATATTGAGGTAATACTGGCCTTGTAAAATGAGTTGTGAAGTATGCCTTCCTCTGTGTTTGGAAAAAGTTTGTGTGGAATTGGCATCACATTATTTTTCATGTTTTTACTTTTTAAACTAATCTAAATCTTTACATTTAAAGGGCATCTCCACAGATAACTTATAGTTGGGTCTTTTCTAAAAAGAAAATCCAGTCTGATCATCTGTACTTTCTATTTGCAGTATTTGGACCATTTAATTTTAATGTAATTATCACTTTAGTTGAGTCTACTGTACTCCTATTTTCTGTTTTTCTATTTGTTCCATCTTCCGTTTTTTTCTCATTTTCTTTTTTTAAATTTATTTTTTTATTTTAATTCTACTGTTGACATATTAGCTATACCTCTTATTTTTCTCAGTGTTTTCTCTAGGTTGCAATACGCACTTTTAACTTACCAAAGCCCATCTTCAAATAACATTGTATTTAATACAGTGACACTCTTAAAACAGTATTCTTCCATTTCCCTCTACCATTCTACATATTATTATTATGCCTTTTACATCTACATATGTCATATACATAATACATTATTACTTTTGCTTTAAATTGCTAATTATGAGTTAAATAAATTATGAAAATAAAAGGCTTATGTATTACCCACAGATTTACCATTCTGTTATTTCTTTGGTAGATTGAAGTTCCCATCCAATATGCTTTTTGCCTGAATAACTTTAACATTTCCTGGGATATGGGTTGGCTGGCAATGAATAGCCTTAGGTTTCTGCTTGTGTAAGAAATAAAATTTCTTTTTTTTTTTTTTCTTGAGAATGGATCTCATTCTGTTCCCCAGGCTGGAGTACAGTGACATGATCATGGCTCACTGCAGCCTGCACCTCCTGGGCTCAAGTGATCCTCCCATCTCAGCCTCCTGAGTAGCGTGGACCACAGGCATGCGCCATCAAACCCAGCTAATTTTTTCTTTCTTTTTTTTTTTTATTTTTTTAATTGTTTTAAATGTAGAGTCAGGGTTTCACTATGTTGCCAAGTTGGTCTTGAAATCCTGGGCTCAAGCAGTCCTTTCACTTTGACCTCCCGAAGAGCTGGGATTACAGGAGTGAGCTACCACACCTGGCCTATTTCACCTTTTTTGAAAGATATTTTTCACTAGCACAAGATTCTAAATTGGCTTTTTGGTGTTTTAATGATGCTGTTCCATTGTCATCCATCTATCTTGAAATGAATAGTTTGCATTCACTCTTTGTTCCCTTAAATGTAATGTGTCTTTTTTTTTTCCTATCTCTCTGCTTGTAGGATTTTTTCTTTGTCACTGGTTTTTAGCAATTTTACTTTGGTGTGGTTTTCTTTGTATTTATCCTGCAGGGAGTTGAAATTCTGTTAACTATAGGCTTAATTGTTTTAATTAAACTTGGAAGAATTTGGCCAGTACTTTTTCAAATATTTTTTCTGTTCTTGCCTCTTTTTTCTTCTGGGACTGCAGACTGCTTAATATGACACAGCCACTGATGTTCTGTTCAGTTTTTTACCCCCAATCTTTTTTTTTCTCTGTGCTTCATTTTAGATAATTTCTACTGCTATATCTTCAAGTTTACTGTTCTTTTCTTCTGGAGACTATCTAATCTGTTTATCTTATCTAGTGAATTTTTTATTTTAGATGCTGTACTTTAGTTCTATTTGAGTTTTTAAAATACAGGTATATCTTCTGTTTCTCTTCTCATTAAGTTACTGTTTTCCTTTTAAATTTTTGAGCATATTAAAAAATAGCTGTGTTTAAATGCTGCTTACTAATTCTGTTATTTCTGTCATTACGAGTCTGTTTCTGTTGACTCATTTCCCTCCTGGTTATGGATTACATTTTATTTATTTTTGCATATCTAGTAATTTTTTATGGACTGGTGAACATTATGAATGTTACATTGTTAAGTGTTTGGATTTTGTTGTCTTCCTTGGAAAAGTGTTACAATTTGTTTTGGCAGGTCTTTAAGTTATTTGCTGATAAGGTTAACCCTTTGAGGCTTGTTTTTAATCTTTGCTATGTGAGTCTAAAGATCATACTGTAGACCATGCTCTAGTATGCTTGATTCTAGCACTGATTTAATTCTCTTACCAGTAGGCATGACTGGAAAAAAATGGACATATGGAAGAGACATTTGGAGGATAAAATGGTAGAGAAGAAGTTGTCAAGCCTGGGCAAGAGTAATAAATGGAACATTATCAGAATGTGGAAGCAAGGTGGAAGAGCTAGTCTAAAGAATATTTAGCTTAATCTACTAAGCCTGGATTGTACACTCATTTTTAATATTACATTTTGGAAGTAGGGACTTCATGACCTTGAATTTTCACAGGATTTCGTTAATATCTATTTGAAGAAAACGTCTAGGGACTAGTATCTCTTGTAATGAATGTCACTTTTGTTCTTCATTTCCACTATACGCTTGAATACCTAATAGTCTGTTTTTAGCTCTGCATGTATTTATAGTCAACTTCTCTTCCTGAGTATTAAAATGACAATCTATATGTAATATATGTGCAGCAGGAAAAATTCGGATAATCACATGGAACTTGTAATAATAGAATTTGGATATATGTTCAGGTCTCTTATTTAAGAGCTCTGTAAGGATTGAGAGCTTATTTAGAATCATATTTAAGGTTTTAAATCTACCTCATCTCTGTCTCATTGTGATGATCAAGCCACTGCTTCTCCTTCTGGGTGAATAGGGATGTCTGATATTGCCAGCCTCCTTGTATTTAACTTATTAAAATGTCATTTTTAAGTCAAGGTCAAGTAGTAGGAATTTACTCTCTTAAGGATTTGTGTTCTTAACCAGTACTTTGTTGTTCTTTGCCAGAGCTAGAGCATGTTTCATTATACTACCCACAAAGGAAATACCACATCTCTTTAAAAGTGAGAGGGCTGACATGACATCCTGTATTTTCTCTATTTTAAGCCCTAGTATTTTAAGCATGTTAACAGGAATAACTCTCCTTTTTTGTAAACAGCTAAGTTTGGGAGGTGTTAAATGCTGGGCAGTACTGGGAACAGGAAGATAGTGGCAGATACATAAAGACACAAAAGCCCAGTTTTGTTCAGAGGTGGGGGGTGGGTGTTGTAGGTGTGCAAGTGAGAGAGTAGTGATGTAAATAGTATTCAGTGAGTACCTGGGTGCCTTAATTGTTTATTTTAATTACTTCTTATTACTGTTGTGAGTGATAAACGATCTTTATTTTACAAATGAGAGAAATTAAGGCTCTGAAAGGATAAATCGTGTGTCTAACTTAATTAGTAGAGGAGTCACATTCAGAAGCTACGTCTGATGCCAAAACCCAGGATCTTTCTAATATTAAGAATGAAAAATAAGGCAATAAGTAGATTAGACACCTGGAGGAATTAGGAAATATGTAGGACTAATACTGTATGTTGGAGACATGATGTGTAGGAACTTGCTTTCTAGGACAAGTTGTCAGCCTTTGTCCTGTAAATGGCAGATAGCAACAAGAATGGGTACAGTGCTGGATAGGAAGTCAAGACACACATCTGGTGGTTCTGTTGTCCTCGGCAAGTTACCCATCTTTAAGTCTCAGTTTCCTAATCTAGGAGGCAGGATTGGATGGTTTCTGAAAGTACCTTCTACCTTTAATACTCTGTAATTATTTAGATACTATAGCAACCTTATTTTAGTAATCTTGATTTGATCTCTAGTTCTAAAAACTCAATAGTAATACAGTAATAAAAGTAGCTGACAATAGGTCTTTCAGTCTTTTTTGCCCTCCCTTATTCTCTGTCCCCAGTCCCTCCCCTCCCTACCCCTTTCCCTCATCCAGCTCAGGCGGTGTTTGTGCTCTGTTTGTGCCTGTGGGGGTGGTGGAAGCGATGGAGTAAGCAGGAGGCAGCTGCCAGGTGCGAAAGCAGAGCAGGAACCGCCTGTGTTTAGGGGGCGGGGAAAAGGAGCCCCAGCTCTACCCCTCCTGGAAGGAGAGGGAAAAGGTAACTATGACTGCCCAATATTGCAGCCATGGAGTCCATGTGGTAATAAATTGAAGAGTACTGTTACAGAAGTAACAGCTGATGTCACTAGTGCTGTAATGGGAAATCCTGTCACTAGAGAATTTGATGTTGGTCGACACATTGCCAGTGGTGGCAGTGGGCTAGCTTGCGAGATTTTTAATGGCACAAAAAAGTCAACAAAGTAGTGGCTGTTTTTGTCTTTGATGAAAAATGATTGACAAATATCAAAAATTTGAAAAGGATCAAATCATCGATTCTCTAAAACAAAGAGTCCAACACTTAACTTGACTTCAACACCCTCGACTTCTTACTGTCCAGCATCCTTTAGAAGAATCCAGGGATTCCTTGGCATTTTGTACAGAACCAGTTTTTGCCAGTTTAGCCAGTGTTCTTGGTAACTGGGAAACTCTACCTTTCCCTATGTCTCCAGACATTAAGGATTATAAACTTTATGATGTAGAAACCAAATGTGGTTTGCGTCGGGTTTCTGAAGGCTTGTCATTCTTGCATAGCAGTGTGAAAATGGTACATGGAAATATTACTCCTGAAAATACAATTGTGAATAAAAATGGAGCCTGGAAAATAATGGGTTTTGATTTTTGTGTATCATCAAGCAATCCTTCTGAACAAGAGCCTAAATTTCCTTGTAAAGAATGGGACCCAAATTTAACTTCATTGTGTCTTCCAAATCCTGAATATTTGGCTCCTGAATACATACTTTATGTGAACTGTGAAACAGCCAGTGATTTGTATTCTTTAGGAACTGTTATGTATGCTGTATTTAATAAAAGGAAACCTATATTTGAAGTCAATAAGCAAGATATTTACAAGAGTTTCAGTAGGCAGTTGGATCAGTTGAGTTATTTAGGACCTAATTCACTTACAAATATACCTGAGGAAGTTCGTGAACATGTAAAGCTACTGTTAAATGTAACTCCAACATTTAACAGTAAGACCAGATGCAGATCAAATGACAGATTCCCTTCTTTGATGATGTTGGTGCAGTAACACTGCAATGTTTTGATACCTTATTCCAAAGAGATTATCTTCAGAAATCACAGTTTTTCAACAGACTGTCAAAGGTTCTACTGCCCAAGCATGTCATTGTGCAGAGAATTTTGACTTGTTTGACTTCAGAATTTGTAAACCCTGACATGGTACCTTTTGTTTTGCCCAGTGTTCTACTGATCATTGAGGAATGCACCAAAGAAGAATATGTCAAATTAATTCCACCTGAACTTGGTCCTGTGTTTAAGCAGCAGGAGCCAATCCAGATTTTGGTAATTTTCCGACAAAAAAATGGATTTGCTACTAACCAAAACCCCTCCCAATGAGATAAAGAACAGTGTTCTACCCATGGTTTACAGAGCACTAGAAGCTCCTTCCATTCAGACTAAACATCTGTCTAAACATTCTGTCTAAACATCATTCTAGCCTTTGCAAATCTTATAGACTACCCATCCGTGAAACGTACTTTGATACCAAGAATTAAAAATGCCTGTCTACAAATGTCTTCCCTTGCTGTTTGTGTAAATTCATTAGTGTGCTTATGAAAGATTTTGGAATACCTGGATAAGTGGTTTGTACTTGATGATATCCTACCCTTCTTACAACAAATTTCATCCAAAGAATCTGCAGTCTTCATGGGTATTTTAGGCATTTACAAATGTACTTTTACTCATAAGTTGGGAATCACCAAAGAGCAGCTGGCTGGATAAGTATTGCCTCATCTTATTCCCCTGAGTATTGAAAACAATCTTAATCAGTTCAATTCTTTCATTTCCATCATAAAAGAGATGCTTAATAGATTGGATTCTGAACATAAGACTAAGCTGGAACAACTTCATATAATGCAAGAACAGCAGAAATCTTTGGACATAGGAAATTAAATTAATGTTTCTGGGGAGACAAAAGTTACAAATATTTTGAATCAGCAAATTGACAAGGTTGTTAACCACATTGGAGCAGACCTTCTGACTGGCAGTGATTCCGAAAATAAAGAGGATGGGTTACAGAATAAACGTAAAACAGCATCACTTACATTTGAAGAAAAACAAAAATTAGCAAAAGAACAAGAGCAGGCACAGAAGTTGAAAAGCCAGCAGCCTCTTAAACCTCAAGTGCATACACCTGTTGCTACTGTTAAACAGACTGACTTGACAGACACATTGATGGATAATATGTCATCTTCGACTAGCCTTTCTGTTAGTACCCCTAAATCTTCTGCTTCAAGTACTTTCACTTCTCTTCCTTCCATGGGCATTGGCATGATGTTTTCTATACCAGTTGATAATGCAAAGAAAAATTTGACAAGTGGCCTAAATGCCAATATGGGCTTTCAGACTTCAGGATTCAACATGCCTGTTACTACAAACCAGAACTTCTACAGTAGTCCAAGCACAGTTGGAGTGACTAAGATGACTCTGGAACCCCTCCCACTTTGCCAAACTTCAATGCTTTGAATGTTCCTCCTGCTGGTGCAAAGCCAACCCAACAAAGACCCACAGATATGTCTGCCCTTAATAATCTCTTTGGCCCTCAGAAACCCAAAGTTAGCATGAACCAGTTATCACAACATAAACCAAATCAGTGGTTCAATCAGTTTGTACCTCCTCAAGGTTCTCCAGCTATGGGCAGTTCAGTAATGGGAACACAGATGAACATGATAGGACAATCTGCCTTTGGTACGCAGGGTAATCCTTTCTTCAACCCACGGAACTTTGCATAGCCACCAACTACTATGACCAGTAGCAGTTCAGCTAGCAGTGATTTAAAAGATCTTTTTGGGTGAGGTGTCTTCCTTCTATTGTGAAGGATTATTTCAGTTTTAATCATGGGTGAACTGATTTACATCTTTATATAGTTGGCTTAGAGGAACTACTTCTATGGGAAAGTGAATCGTTCTGTGACAGAAAACATCTGTCACAGATACTATGCCAGCATAGTAGCTGTATGGTCTTCTAACCAGTTGAGTTTTTTTAAAGGATTGAGGATTTTTTTTCTCTTACCAACTCCTCTTCAGGTTTTTAAAGACCCAACCCTTCCCAATCTCAAAGAGAAAATGGACAACTGAGTTATCTTGAATAGCTGAACTTTTTAATCAGATGTTTACTTTGGCTTGTGAATCTTTGTGTTATTTAAAAAATTGAGTGGATGGTCATTGCAAGCTCATCTATTAAGTACTACATGGTACACAGTCTACCTTCACAAGTCGTTAGTGTTCATTTTAATATGTGAAAAATCTTGATGCTGTACTGATTTGCTTCCATTTAAGACGACAGTGAGAAAATGATAAGCATAAAGAGATCAGGTTATTTGCTTTTTCCAAACTTACTTTTCAGATGAACTAATGTTTAGTACAAAGAGACTGAGCAAATACTACAAAATTTAACTTAACCTACATTTCCTTGGCTAACCATCTTAAATGTAAACTAATCATTGTAAATTATATTTTAGCATGGTCTGCCTCAAATGGTCATGTATTTTTCTGCATTCACTTGGATATATTTAGAATCACTTTGGTATATGCTGATTTGTTTGGATATTTGACAAAGCACTCTGATGTGACTTCCCTGACTACTAACTTCATATTTCATTTCAAATTCAAACTTCTGAGGTTGCAGCATATATGAATTGCATTTTCAAAAGGAGATTTGTAAGAATTAAACTGTATTTAATGGGTAAACTTTTGAGATTTCTGCTGTATTGTTTCAAATGTAATAAACTTTACTTCTCTAAAAAAAAAAAAAAAAAAAAAGAAGCTGACATTGATAGAGTGCCTCCACAGTGTGCAAGGCATTGTACTAAATACAAGTATTTTTCATGCATTTGTCTCATTTAATTCATATAACCTAGGAGGTAAGTACCTTCTCCATTTTACAAATGAGGAAACTGAGGGTTAGAGTTGAGGTAACTTACCCAGTGTCACATTGTGGTATGTGTAGAGTCAGGTCTCAGACCAGAACTATCGCTATACCATATTAAATTTATGTTATGTGAAGGATAGGGAAGATTTTTTAGAGGAAACTTTTTTTTTCCCTCCCCTTTCCGATTTTCTTCACCTCACATGTTTTGAGATTTAGATGTACCATTTCTTTAAAATAAAAATGATAAAGTACTTATTTCAGTGCCAGTGCTCAGTAAAATTTAATGCAATTTTTAAAAACATTTAGTGACTATGAGAATATACTAAAATGTAATTTTTCCAGATTTTGAAGAATCATCCACAGAATTCAAATTTTGTTATTAAAGAGCATATCATTTTATCCCTTTGAAACTATTTTCTGCTGGTTGCTTTGTATTGCTTTTTCCCCCAAGCGTGTAAGTTGAGATCAGACCCCTTTCACTTTGTTTTTAAAAAGTATATATCCAATTATTTTGTGTCAATTAAAAATACTGTTTAAAAATTAAGCAGCCTGCTACTGCTTCAGAGACATAGACCTCTTTTAAACAGTACTCAATAGGTTGATACGGAGAAAATATGAAGTTTCTACAAATTAATTCTAAACTTTAAAAGCATAGTTATAAAGACAGGAACAACAGATAGGCGTATGTGAGGGATGAGGGTGGGAAGAGGGAGAGGATCAGAAAAAATAACTGTTGGGTTACTAGGCCTAGTACCTGGGTGACAAAATAATCTGTACAACAAACCCCTATGACACGAGTTTACCTATATAACAAACCTGCACATGTACTCCTGAACCTAAAATTAAAAAATTAAAAATAAAAAAAAACATAGTTATAGTCACTAAGCAATATATTTAGATAGTATATAATTCAGATTTGTGGTATCTGCATGTTCTCACTCATGTGGAAGCTGACAAAGTTGATCTAGAAGTAGAGAGTAGAATAGTGATTACTAGAGGCTAGGAAGGGTAGCAGGAAGGAGGGATCAGGAGATGTTGGTTAACAGATACAAAATTACAGCTGGATAGGTGGAATAGGTTCCAGTGTTCTTTAGCACCATAGGGTGGCCATACTTGGCAATAATTTGTTGTATATTTTCAAACATAAAAGGTAGGATTTTGAATGTCCTCAATGCAAAGAAATGATAAATGCTTGAGGTAAGGAATGTGCTAATTACCTTGATTTGATCATTATACATTGTATACAGGTGTCAAAATATCGCATGTACCCCATAAATATATCCAATTATTTTGTGTCCATTAAAAATACTTTTTAAAAATTACTGTCAAAAAAATGTATGCCATCATTTTTACTTTAGAAGTTCTCTTACTAAAAGAAAAAAAAACTATACTACTAGGATATACTAATAAAAATCAGTGGAGAAATGATCTTGTCTAGTATTTCTTTGGTTGTCCTACTTTAGAAAAACTAATTTTCATAATTTTCTCTGTAGCCTAGTAAAAGTTGAAATATATTGGATTCATTTACATAGACTCTCCTCTTCAGATGTCTGCTCCAATGAGGATCTCCCTGAAGTTGAGCTGGTGAGTCTGCTAGAAGAACAACTACCACAGTATAGGCTAAAAGTAGACACTCTCTTTCTATATGAAAATCAAGACTGGACTCAGTCTCCACACCAGCAGCAACATGCATCTGATGCCCTCTCTCCAGTCCTTGCTGAAGAGACTTTCCGCTATATGAGTGAGTATTTTTTTACTCTTTTAGTCTGTGCATTGAAGTAATGATCATGGGTATCTTGGTATTGATTTTTAAAGCATTGATGTTTAATAGCCAATGTTCAGTGTATACCTACTTTCATGTGAACTGATTTCACAGGAAGAGATAATTCTGTGTTACATCTGAATGCAGAAAGTTTGTCATCCTTAGGACTCTCAGTGTCCAGTGTTGCAAACACACTTAGATGTTTTCATGACTTGATATTTTCCTCAGACTGAGTAGAAAAGGGAACTTTTTAAAAAGCGAAGTGATTTAAAATTTTAATATTCCTTTATAACTGTCAACATTTATTATCCCAGTAGTTTGGTATCCTAAGCTATCAGCTTTTGACTTTTATCTTTATTAATATCTTTATTAAACACAGTCACAAGAATTATGTCAGCATAATTAAGCATAGTTGTTAGATACATAAGAAATTTTAATAATGCCAGGAGAAATAAATATACACTATATAGTATTATTTAAGGATTCCTAAGTGAGAGACTGAGCCAGATTTGTCCTAAAAATAGGTCTGTTTTACACCAAGCTATTAGAAAAGATAAGGAAATTTTTGAACTTCAAGGTATGGAGACCTTTTTGCATTTGATTTTATCCCAAAAATCTGCATTAAGGCTGAAATTACTTTTCTAAAAATTCATTTGGTAAAAAATGTTGTGTGCACAGTAGCTATTAGGATATATAATAAAATCTTATGAGTTCAATATTGATATGTTTGTGAAATTCCTTTAATTAGAATTAAGTAGGTGATTGCATCAGATCCTAGACATTTTCCCAGTGAGTGCTTCAGTGATTAATGCCAGATTGTCGTTGGAGAATGACTATTGTGCAATACTCATTTTCATCGTAATCATTAACTTGTTTTTAGCACTAGTTTCCTAGAATTTTTTTCTAGTCGTTTCTTAGAACTTATTACTACTCAAAAAAATTTATAAACATTGTTTCAGCTGAAACTGAAATATCAAGAAGCCCAGTGAGTGTTGTAGTGTTTTAATGCCAGATTGTTATTGACGTATAAATATAATGTATAAACATTATTTCAGAAACTGAAATATCAAGAAGCCCAAATACAATTGTGTTTTTGTCCTTAATCTTTCTTTTAAATAGCTAAATTAAGTTAAATTAAGGCTCCAAAGGTTTTCTTGACATTTTAGTTTGAGAATTTGCTTGCTTGAGATTTTTCTGGAAAATCATTTTTAGAAGGAACAGTGTTTCTTATTTCTGGTTCCTTTTGTTCCTTGAGTGTTTAAACTTCTGAGAACTTTCTTTTCTTTTTTTTGAGACGGAGTCTCGCTCTGTTGCCCAGGCTGCAGTACAATGCCACGATCTCACCTCACTGCAACTTCTGCCCCCCCAGGTTCAAGCGATTGTCCTGCCTCAGCCTCCTGAGTAGCTGGGATTACAGGCGCACCCCACCACGCCAGCTAATTTTTGTATTTTTAGTAGAGACGAGGTTTCACCATGTTGGTCAGGCTGGTCTCAAACTCCTGACCTTGTGATCCGCCTGCCTCAGCCTCCCAGAGTGGTGAGATTACTTACAGGTGTGAGCCACCACACCCAGCCTAAATTGCTAAGAACTTTCAAACTGAAATTTCATCTGGATAAATTTAGTTTGTCATTATTTTGATAAAGTGTCACAGAAAGTGCCCTTCAGTTTATTTGTTCTTTGTCCTCTCAGCTACTGAGCGGCAAAACTATAGCTAGAAAGTAGTCTTAGATCATGATTTAATGGAGTTAACTTGTAGGATGAATTATAAGTAAAAAGCCTAGAAAATAAAAGGCAAAATTTAAAATACTTTCCAAGACTTTTTACAAAATGATAGTGTCCAAGGGAGCAATTTAAAACTTGAGATTAATAGGATGATACTGACCCATACTTCAGGGTTCTGGAAAACTATCCTATTTCTTTAGTGTAATGGTACTATTTTCACTTCAACAGTTTGAAAATTGAACTATACATGATATACCTAAGATCATGAAGCAGATAAGCTAGGATGATACTGATAATTTACCTTTGCACTGTACTTTAAATTCCACTGTTATTTTAAAGGTTAATAGTTAAATCACATATAAACTTCATTATGCATTTACACCTTGTGAATGTAAAAGCTAAATGATTTATTTTATTTAGCAAATTGACCAAAGTTTAAAAAGGAAGATACAACACATTCTCTCACCCTTTCCCACAGTTTTCTATCCCTCTGAGATTTCGAGATTTGTGGTTTTGAATAATTACCGTGTACTCTGGCAGACCATCCTAGAGCTCAGCTCCCTGGGTTACTTTGGGCGTATCTCTTCCTCTCACATGCCAGTGGATACTTGTGCTTATTAAAATGAATTTTAACACCTAGTAAAAAGGCGGCACAGGCAAAGGCACTTTCTTTCTTGTATAACACAAAGAAATTGAAAGAGCTGTGAGAAAATACTGATTTGGAAGGAAACGTAGCCAGCATTTGAGCTTCGGAGCCTATCTCACAAGAAATGAGGAAGAGTGGGTAGTTCTCTGAAGTCACCCAATCCAGAAGGAGATTGTTTACTTTTAAGATAGAACATTGGGAGAGCAATGAGTGGGCAAAAAAAATCAATCAATCCATCCCAGTCCCTGCCACACACATGTAAAGTTTAAGATGGTCAAAAATTGTTTTTCCTGCTGAACAGTCCACCCCAGGGTTTTCTTGATTTTATTAAGACTGAGTCCCAGAGTGAGCTGTGGGGGAGCCGTGCAATCAGAACACGTTACAGACTGTACCATTTATTCATTTAAAGGCTAATGTTAGAAACATGATTCTTTCAGGGGGTTTTATTTGGTAATATAGGATCACCTTTACCACTTCCTAAGGCATAAGAGGGGGAAAAATGATTATCTAAGTTTTATTTTTGGCAGTGGTTCTCAAAGTGTGGACCCCTGCAATCAATGTCACTTGAGAAATTGTTAGAAATTCATATGCTTGGGCCGCCTACTCCACCTACAAAATCCGAGACTCTGGGAGTGAGACAGTCCTAGCTGTCTGCGTTTTAAAGAGTCTTCCTGGTGATACTGATGCACACTCAAGTTTGAGAACCCCTGATACAAAGCATTGCCAACCAAAGTAAATGGCCATTTCACAGTGACATTAA